GGAAAATACCACTTAAGAATTGAGCCACTGGTCCTTCATTCAGAAACCTGATGTTTGTTCAGCTACTTTCTCAATTCATCTTCACCAGCGAAGTTTAATTTCAACTGCATGTGTGTCTTTATCATTTCTGAAGCAGGAAATATTAATCACTAAATCTAATTGGTCTCACTGCTGCTTGCCCCAGGGCAGCTTTTTTAGCTTATGAAAACCAGTGTCAGTTGACATTGTCACCCACATGGCTTGATAACTAAGAGCTGAAGATAGGCTATTTCCATTTTAACTAGACAATAAAGCAGACAAGTTGATAAATGCTGAGGTAGGGTAGATTTCAGCAGGGAGGTTTTATGAAATGAAGATTCTCATTGGCCTTATACCCACCCTATCACTGGAAATGGAGCTGCCTACGCTTATCCTTTTAATGTTTTTATTAAGAGATGTTAGCAAAAGATGGGAGAAGACTGTGCAGCCAACTGAAAAAAATTAAGGGGGAAAAAGGAAAAGGCTTATTGTTACATAAATGTCCTTTCCTCCCACTTCTGCAGAGTTGTTCTTGATCCTTTCAAAGCAGTCTCCCTTCGAGAAAAGAAGATGCTGTTAGCTGGAATCATACAAAGAAGAAATTACAACAATTAGTCTTTTATGTTAATATTTTAGTCCATTAATGCTATTATTACTTATCTAGCACAAACTGAATGCTAGAGGCTTTTCAGATAGCAAACTCCGTGTCCCGGTGTACAGTGTACGGGTGATATATGCAAGAGGATGTGCGAGCTGGCATCTAATTAGGTGCTGGCATGTAATGGGTACTGGGCTCCTAGCTCTGCAGCATGGGGGTAAGCCAGACTAAACAAGATTTTTAAAGTTGTTCCACTCTCAGCTTTGAGGTATGAGGCCTGATCTCTTCTCGGTGCATTACTTTTCCTGCTGGTAAAAGAGAAGCTACTGTGCTCTGTCCCTGTGTCTTTAGATTTCAGAAGGTGTCACGGAATGTAACTTCCCCTGTAGATAAGGACTACTTAGCATACTGGGACATGCTCTCATTAAAGGCCTTCGTGCACTGCTACAGCACAAAACCTCAATAAATGCATTTCTTTCTCTGCCAGACACCTTTTCATTTTCTGTACTTGGTTCCACAAACAAGCACTGAAATTTCACCTGTATTTTTAATGAGTTTGCCCCATATCCCCTTTTATTTTTATTATTTTTTTATTTGAAGGATGAATATTTTAAATTAAACAGAAATGGAAAGGGGCAAGACAAGTATAGGGGCAAGGCTTACAATGCTTAGGATGAAATTTACTATAATTTCCTCCATTTTTCCCCTCATGTGCTTCCTTGGAGAGAAGTTTGAATGGAAAATCAGGCAGAGTTGATTCTTGATTTCTCTGGTTACCACTGTAGAGGAAAATTCATTACACCTAATTGCCTAAGCAATTGCCTAAGCAGGTAATACCTTCTGCTCTCAATAGATAGAATTTTGTAAGCTGATGCACTCACCTCTCCTCTAACAAAATCTTGGAAAAGTGGAGACCAGTGGTTGACCTGGTCCAGCAGATCTTCTCCATTTTGCATGGGAGGACTGAGGTTAAGCTCCTTCACAGGGTTACTGCACACACATTCACACTTGAGAGAGACCCCCTTCAACAGAAGCAGCAGGTTAAAAACAGGGCAGAAAGGGAGAAGTAGCTGTTCTTCTTCTGAGCCTTCCCACCTGCTCCAGGCATTGCACATGCCAAAACAGAGGTGACACAAGAGCAGCGGGAGTGGACTCCTCTTTGCTTTTTAAGGAGGATCAGGGCTGGTCCTGATGATCTGGAAAGAGGTTTTCCAAGTGCCCTGGGGCATCCTGGGGCTTCACAGACAGTAAAATGCTAAATAGGGATGTCTTCAGTTTTGAGTTTCATACAGCCCTTTCTGAAGCTGAATCTCTTGTGCTATAAACTCTGACCCTGATACCCAAGGTCCTCTGTAGGGACAACTGTGGGCAGTCGTCTCTCACTCCTGAGCCTCTCCCTTGGGATTTGTTGCTGGCATATTGGGGAAGATGGGGTGGGTGGTCTGTGGCACTGACCACACCACCTCTATACAGATCTAGGAGATACAGACATATAAACATAGAGCCTGTGCTTAAACTGAACATCTCTGAAGCCATTTGGTATATAGTGAAATTCAGGGTTTAGTTTACCTCAAATAAACAAACAAACAAACATGTTTGGTTTGGAACACCTGCCAATGGCTGAACCATATTATAGTTTTGGCCTAGTATCTCTGACTGCAAACTAATCTTCCTTTATACGCAGGGTGACGCCGGTGTGTGCACACAGGCAAACACAGAGAAGCCTCTGGGGAAGGCAAGCAGTCAAGTGGGGAATTCTGCATGTTGGGAGCCCACACAGAGCCCAGCTGACGAATAAATAAAGGAGTCCTGGCTTCTGACTGTGCCAGTTCCTTAACCTTTGGGATCATTAACGACTTCTCTCTTCCACTAAAAAAAAAAAGCCAGCAGTTCCTGTACTTTTCTGAGACACAAGCAAAGCATTTAGCACCACAAATAAGCTCATAATTTGACAGGCAAAATGCCCAGAAAAGTGAAAGCAGATTTCTCCCTCCAAGTCCCTGAATATCTTAGTGATCCTTTACTTGGTTTTCAAGTGCTGTTTCCTTTTTGTTTAATCACAGGTTTAGGTCAAGCCACTCTTCAAAATATCATGCCCTATCCATGTGCATTTTCTTAACCTTTAGTATGTTCACAGTTTCCTGTTTTGCCAGCAAAAACAGACACCACACAGAAATGCCTACATATGTCCAGAGCAGCTGCTGAGTAGCTCTCATTTTTAATTTACCTACCATCCATCCATGTGTTTTTCCCTTACGTGCAAATCCAGCATCCACAGAGTTGGCATAACAAGTATTCAAGAAGTTGTATTTGCTGTGAAACTGAGCAAAGGGAATTAACTACAGTATGTAAACAGTAACTTTTTATAAAGAGTTGAGGCTGGTAAAGGCCACAGCCAGGCAGAATGTTCAAGCCTCTTGAGAATGAAGTCATGCTGTTTCTTTCCCAAGAGACTTCCAGCCAAGGAGCCCAGTGGATTCTCAAAAGGGATGAGGAAGCAGGTGGCACCCCGGGGTAGGGTCTAACTGTCTCGGGTTCCTTGTTGGAAACAAGCCTTTGAGTGCTCTCTTGGAACTGATCTGAGAGGATTATTGTGCATCCCCAGCCTCTCTGAAGGACCAGACTTCCCTGTCACACATAACCATCCTTCAGCACACTGGACTTCCCAGGGCTTATGTTATCTGGGGAGGTGGTTCAGGAAAGACAGTATTGGAGCATGGAGCTTTGCTGCCTTGCTGTGTGGCTGCTGCTGCTTCAGAGGAAGATGATAGCTGCATTTGCATCAAGCCACAGTAAGAAATTCTGACTGAGTATGGGGGAAAAAAGAGCAATATGAGAGTGGTTCAGAACTGAAGAAAATGCCCACCAAGGCTGTGCACTTTCCATTCTGGGACAGCCAAAACTCAACTGGACAAGCCTCAGCAACCTGCTTTAAGTTTAAACTTACCCATGGTTGAGTGGGGTTTGGACTGGAGACCTCCAAGCCCCATACAACCTAAACTGTGCCATCATTCTATGAGAGAGAAGGACAAGATGAGCCTCCCCTTTGCACCCCTCTACCCTCCTATAGGCTCTCTCCCCTGCTCTCCCTCCCTATGCATCTTTTGGATTAGCATTTGACTACTTCTCTGCCATAAAGGAAAGTTTTGAAGGTAAATCATCACATCCACACCTGATTTAGAGGAGAAACTCACATCCCAGTGGTGATTTTATACAAATTTTTCAATAATAAATGACTTACTTAAGACCATGCAGTACATTGGCAGCAGAATGTGACTCTGACTGGGTAGTCTGAGCACTAATGGTTTGCAGACAGAGGATTCACACTTCCTTCTGTCCCTCGGAGGAGAGGAGATGGACATTTTTCTGGGCAGCTTCTGTGAGGAGCCTGTCACATGGTAAAATGCCAGTTGTGATTATTCTGTGTAAACCACCTGAAATCCATGTGTAAAGGGGCAAAAAATTAACCTTTAAAGTAACCCCTACCAACCACATTAAAGGGAGAAGAATGGCATAGTTAATTTTGTTTGATAGTCATCAGGGGAAGAACAGACTCCAGTCATTTCCATGAATAAAATCTTTATTAATTTTCTTAAATAAAGGTTTTATTGTTTCACACCTATTTCTTGGATTCCAAATGAACTCATCTTTGTTATCAGACTTTGCATTTGCTTTTTAGGATTTTTCTTCTTATTTTTCCTTTTTCTTTTTTTTTCTTTACTCCTCGTCTTGCCAGTAGGTTCTAGAGAAGTTTTCAGGCTGCAGGACATTGCTGCAGTCGGGATAGCTGTAAGAGTGAGAGCTGCATGCTGGCTGAATTGGAGCTGTTTCCCTTGCAGCCCTCGGGAGCCCCCCAAGCTGCTTGCTCACCCCACTCGATGCCGAGCCGGAGCTAGCAGCACCGTGCTGTAATTAATTCATTAATTAATCACGCCATAATGAGATGCATGGATGAGATGACTGCTGCAGGAGTGCTTTAGGGAGTAAATGCAAAGCCAAACACTCGCCTTGCGGCGATGCCCTTGTACTTTCAGTGTCCCGGCTGGTGACAGGCGCATCACAAAGGGCCCAGAGGGCGGAGCGGCGGAGCTGCGGCTGCCCGGAGCCCATCCTGCTTCCCCAAAAAGATTTTCTTGAAATGAAGAATTTGCGCCTCATGATGGGACACCGTGGGTAGAGGGAGGGTGGATTGGAGGTTTTTTTTGTTCTTTTTTTTTTTTTTTTTTTTTTTTTTGATTGGTGGTAATTTTTGTATTGCTGAAGAATTTGTAAGCGTCTTCTTGCCGCTCTGGATTTTCATTTTTATCCCCTTCCTTGAAGCTGTGAAATTTCCTGAATTGTGAAAAACACAGGTCCTTACTCAGGTTTTCAGGCCAGCAAGAAATCCATGATGGTCTAAGATGAAATCGCTGTGACTTTTCCCGGGATTAATTTGTGATATGCCACATTCAGGGAATGCATCTCATGCACCTTTGAAGCTGAAAGATGAAGTTGAGGGAATAATTTCTGATTTGCCTGCATGTAACAGTGGCTCACTCGGCCAAAAGCCTGTCATAAGGGAAATAACAAATGATTTCTGAAGTTGATTGTATAATTCTGTCAGACAGAAAGGGGAAACTACAGGCCCACTTCTCTTTCATGAGATGTGATTAATTCCCATTGGTTTAATCACTGCTGGGATGTGTGTCAGGTGGGGATAGAATGGGACAGGAAGGAGAGAGGACCCAATAGCAGGCAGCCATTTATGATTATCTTTAATCATAAATTTTCCTCACTGGAAGTCACTAAAAGGCCTTGGCTACAGGATCATGTACACACACCTATTTTCTCCGGTTGTAAACAGCACAACATTTTATGTACAGAGTACAGAATATGGATTGTCATGTCAGGACTCCAGATTACTTCACTCCTTAAGGCAAAGTGCTGCAAGTCTGGATTTGAGAGGTAGCTGGTATCATGCTGCAGGGTCTTGATACAGCAAACAAATCTCTGAAAATGGCGACACCTTCCCTGTGACAGGAGTGCCATTGCCTACACAGCTACTGGCAGCCCGCAAAGCCTGTGCAATCGGTCATGGGGATAAAGGACAGAAACATTTCTAGATGCAGCACTTTCCTGCTGATTTCAGGATCATCCTACAAAGTAATATGACCAGCCTCACCAATTCAGCCCTTGCATGTTCCCTTCTTCTTCAGAACTCGCCTTTCTTCAAAAAAGAACAGTATCTGTCAAGGACAACTAATCCCTATTGCTTGCTCTCAGGAGGTCCTTTCATGTGGCAAGAAAAGACCATAGCTTAGCTGAGTGAAAGTGGGCTGATGTTCTAATTTTGTTCTTTTTTTTCCTTTTGTTTTACAATCTATTTAGGATTAGAAATGTACTTGGGAAACATAATTCTCCTGAAATGGAGTTTCTGTCAAAAAAACCCAAAAAATGTCATGACAAGGAACAATTTTAAAAAGTTTGAAACTTCTTGTTTCAGCAGCCTTTAATGGAATAGTGCTTAAAAAAATAGCCCATGAAACTGCTATGACATTTACCAAATGAAACTTTTGGACCTTTTGTGTCAAAATGGCATTTTTCATTTCAAAAGTGACCTAAACGAGAAGAAAACAAAGTTTAACAAGAGAATTAAACACATGGAGAATGAAGAATACATTTCATTTTGGGTTGAATAGTTTAGTCTGAATTACTCCATCAAGAAACTCAAAATAATTTACTGTAATCGGAATGGCATTTTCCTGACTTTTCAACAAAAACAATAAAACCACCTCTTATACACCTCAGCTTTAAGCTGAGGATGAAAGAAACATTTTTTGATTTGCAGCAGCAGCAGGACATGGCAACATAGCAAAAGAACTGCCTAAGATGCTTCCAATTTCTGTGGTGAGTAGGAGTGGGCCATTTGAAAAAACACAACAGCTTACCCAGCCCCACAGCTTTTGTTGATGTGAGAACTATAGCTGCAGATAGTAAATGGAACATGAAAAAAAATTAGTCTACAACTAAATTTCTGAACCAAGAGGCACTACCCGTGGCCACCAAATTTTTCAGCTCTTCTTCAAGTGAAACACAACCCTAAGAACTTTAATTTTGTGGCTGAAGGCCTGTGTTACTGACCTGGTCGCCCCAGCTTCCTTGGAGCTCTTACCACAGGCTCCTCAGTTCTGTGGCTGCTGCCCATGTGCAATGAACCTGGGGGCCAAAAATACCCATTGCAAATGCTATGGCATAGCAGCAACATTTTTTTCCCTGTATGAAATCCCTCCATGTGGATTGTGTTACCATCCCACCTCAGCTAGCACATGCCGTCTGGGATTAACTGGCCCACGAAACTCAGTCCTGGCAAGGACTGAGCTGAAACAGTGCAAACCCTGTTCTGCCCACACTCCAGAGCTCCCCTTGAGGGCATTTGGGAGGCTCGGATGTGCTCTTCTCAGGTGCCTCTTCTGGGGGTTGTTCCACACAGGGGTCACCATCTATTTTACGTCCCCTCTTCAGGGATAGTCCAGACTTGGCAAGAGGTGGCCATCAGTGTCCTCCTCCCCAGTCCCCATAGTGACTTTCCCTTCAGGCCCCCTGGCATTTGAGCTCTGTTGTAGTTCCCCTGCTTAGTACTGTCACACAAATTTTTGCATGAGGACTTTTCTCGTTCTTTCTTTGGAAGCCTTTCATATCTTTGGAGGAAGGGTACTTGGTGAGGCAGAAGTGTGTAGATAGAGCAGGGGACATGTCTAGGGAACTTAACTCTGTGTAGGTTATCCCATCCAGACACTTTGTCACTCCAGACACTTTGTCACATTTTGTCACTCCTTACCCTGTAAATCTAGAGTCTTACCAGCATGAGTAGAGGTTCCATTTATATCTCTGCATGAGGTCAAAATTTGTAATGTAATCTGTCCTTGCCATTGTGTGTGTATGTGTATATATATGTATAAAAGTAGCCATATAGATGCTCATAAACTAATGAAGTGCAGCAGCTCTGTGAAATTAGGAACGTACATGTCACTGTAGTAGCTTGAAAAAAAAAAATGATGCAAGGCTTAGCCCTTTCAGGCTATCCTTTCTTGTTGCAACAATTTCTGCAAACGGGGTGGCAGGAGGGACCGGGTGACAAGAAGTTCATGATAAGGCATGGGGCCCTTCAGCCTTGGCTGTCTGATTGAGGTGTGACTCCATTCAGCAGCTTTCTTCCATCAAGAACAGTTTTTATTTGTGTTATTTTTGCTTGACAGAGACCCCTCACGAACTGTCACACCCTTTGTTCTGAGCTGAGGTCCTCTTTAGAGAAAAGTTTGTGAACAGAGTATGGGAAAGATGGCATTTCTTTCTTTTTTGTAGTTAAGGGCCATGGTAAATTGGCACCAAGTGCACAGCTTCACTTGCCCTGCCCTATGCAGTGAGGGCTTTGGGATCCTGGATGTATCTGTAGCATGTTTCATGGACACTATCACTGGGTGTATAAAAGAGCAGTTTCTTACAGCAAATGCTCTGCTGATAGCATGGTGCCCGCAGTGAGCTCACAAGGATGGCTGGATTATTAAGGGATGTAAAAAGAGCCTTTTAGAAGTGTCACTCCTACACACTAGGGTACAGCAGGAGGTGCACAGCGGCGGTCTGTGTGTCTCTCACAGCAGGGACTGTTGGCACAATGGCTTCTGTTTTTGCTGCCTGTTCAGTATTATTTGTTTTATGTTGATACTGTCAATGCACTTAAAGAGATTATATATTTTTCCCATGGCATAAACAAAATGACTTGCATTTTGCAAGGAGAGTAATGGTAATGAGAACTCAGGCTTCAAGGGGAAATGATAGTAAGGCTGACAGCAAGGAGAAATAAATCTTGTACATTCAACTTAGTCTGAGATGACTGTCATTTCCTTAAATAAATTAATAAAGTCAAGTCCCGATGTTCTTACCTTATGAGGATGGGGAGAAAAGGGAATGAGCTGCGACCTTGTGGCAGGCAGTGTTTTTAGTAGGTGATCTCTTACCATCAGCTCGAACCAAGCTTCAAGCAAGACATGAGTTTGGTGGTTCTCCTCAGGCCGATGTTAAACCTTTGCCCTCCCCCTTCCATCCACTACTTTGCAGCAGCCCAGAGCTAGACATGATTACAGAGATGGAGGATGATGTAAGGACTCTCCTGGAGCCAGCTGGGCTTAACAGGTCACTTCAGAAACATCTCCAGCCCTTCTCCCCTCCCCACTGTCACTCCTCCCTTTCCTTGCTGAAGTGTGTAGCCATGAGCAAGACTGAAATGAGGAGGGGGAGTCATGCTATTAAAAATTCTGAATCCCTGCTCCCTGGAAGATGCTGAGCATTTGTTCATCCTTTGTTCCCAGGGGACAACATACTGTATGTTACAGCCATTTGTTGGTTTGGTTTTTTCCCCCACCCAAATGCAGAACAGTGGCAGCTGAGCCGCTGTATGAGAATAGCATTAAAATGTGTAATGCACCATAAATAAACAGAAGTAGACAGCCAGGAAGCTGTGGTAATCACTGCTTTGATGTAGCATGAATTATGATGTGTGTATATATGTGAGCGAGTGTGCGGGGGCGGGGTTTCAGGGTTTCATGTTTCTGGCTGTGCTTGTTTTGACTCAGCTGCTGTTGCTCTGGGAAGAGAGCGAACCCAGTCTGTCATTTACCTATCTCCACCTTCGCACTGACAGCTGTGCATGTCCCTTGACTGAGAGGAAAGGGATCTCATGTTCCACTGCCTGTTCCCTTGGAGTGAGTCCCTCCTCCGCCTCCTCGCTGTCCCCAGTGCCGCGGTCGCAGGGCAGCAGGGGTAATCCTGGCTGTCTCCCAGGACCGGGTCACTCCTCCCGCAACCTAGAGAGGATCCTTTTACATCCCGGGCTTCAACATCACCTTCCAGGAGTAGCTGGTTTATGTTTCTCGGGTCTACATTAGGCTGTTGGGTTTGGTTTTTTTTTTTTTTCCCTTGCTGATTTCCTGCTGCTGCTGGGATAGTGAAAAAGGCTGTGGTTGTGTTAGCACAGACAGGTGAGGTTATTAACAACCCGGTGTCATGCTTCCTCCAAGACACCGAAATTAAAAAGGTTGCTGTCGCGGCCCCCGCGGCACGTCCGGGGATGCGCGCCCGGCCCGGCCCGGCCCGGCCTGCGCGCCGCGCTCCGCCCGGGCGGAAACGCCCGCGGGAAGAAAGGCGCGCTCCCCTCCCGCAGGAAGCGAGCATTTCCCAGCTGGGGCGAGGCAGGGAAAGCGCAGGGCTTGGCTGTGCTGGAAGGCTGTTGTCTCGAGCGGGGAAAAGGTTTAAGAACGCAGAAAAATGGGAGCTCTTAAATACCTAAAAATTTTTCAGCCGAGTCAGTCAAGTCTGACAGGCTTAGATAGTTCTAATGAACTGCTGAGCGTGGGTGAAATTTTCTTGCAGTGGTGATATACTGATGTAACCAAAGAGTGTGCAGAAACTATCCGGGTGAAGGAGTGGTTTTTAGCTAGACAGTTTCAATGGGAATTTGGTGTCTACATATCTCTGAGCATCCAGATGTGTATTTTTCTCATTGTTGCCACTTAATACAGTTACACTTTATTTTATTATCGTTTTAGTGAAGAGGAAAGATACATTGAAGTCTTTTTACATATAAGGACTGCAATACATAAAAGCAAGAGGAAGCCCTGCAATTTTTCTCTGAGGAATAAAGGTGCACCTTGGTGGAGCTGAGTTAATGCTGTAACTAATCTCTCCCTGAGTCAGCAAGGAGCTGAGGGATGTGCTTAACTTTATTCACAAACTCTTAAGAAGTTTGTGAAACAGATGAAGCCTTGTTGCTGTGTGGCAGAGCTGCACACTAATGGATGCATTAAAAAATGCTGTCGCAGCGCACCTATATTGCCACACATGGTAATTAGTCAAATTGCAAGACAATTACCATTCCAGTGCTGAGATAGCTGACTTGCACTTGCTTCACGAATGCTTGGAAACACCTTCCTCATTCAGAACCAGCAGGCCTAATTCTGTATTATGTTGTTGCTCCATTGCCCTCCAGCAACACAAAAGGCCTGAAGAGGCTAGAAATAGCCTCTGGAGAGCAATCTCTGACATAAGATGCTCATCCCAGCCCATCTGCTGGCATACCACAGCTCCTCAACACTAGCTCACTCCAACTGCCTCACAAACCTCTGCCTGGGGCCCTTGTTGGGAAGGGGCCATGTGTTTGACACGTACACGCAGAGAGCACTGCCTAGCAGTAGCTCAAAAGCAGCTTATGGTCCTAGGGGCTAAATTAAACTCATTTCAGGAGACAATAATAATTCATGAAGCGCCCCTTCCCTCACTCCTATCCACCAAATAGCATCTCCTCCTCCCCTTCTGTTCACCGGCTGTCCCCCAGGAGATCCTTGCTAGCCCTCTCTGCTGCAGAGAGGTTGAGTTGGAGCAGGGGGATGGTGCAGGACTAGGCAAGGAGCCAGTGGTGGTGTGTTTTGGAAATGGTGGTAAGCAGGAGAAGGAAGGGAAAAGCAGGCTGTGTCTCCTTCATCTCAGTGAGCACCTCCATGCACAGAGTGGCAGGATGAGCCCTAGGAAGCCCATGGTGAGCCAGCCCCTCTTTGTGGAGGCAGCACAGTAAAGTGGAATCTCTCTGCCTTCATTCCAGTGTGCCAGCTCCCAGTGAACGGGCAGAGGATTTTGGGCACGAGGTGGGACTCCTTGTGTTTTGGAGCCACTAACCACTCCCTGCCTTTTGCTCGGGACAGAAATGCTCTCCTGTCTGGTCTTTCAGGCTGGCTGTGGCTCTCTTCTCCAGTGGGAATGGAGCTGTTGGTTCTCTCCCACCATGGGAGGTGGCCCTGGGCTTTCCAACGCTGCCAAGCACCCACAGTTCACACAATGGGTGCCCACTTCTTCTCCTTCATTTGCATGTTGCTCACAGCATAAATCCTACTTTTGTTATGCACAACATTTGGTTTGCACAACATTTTCAAAACAAAAATTATGTGAGCATGAGAAATAGCCACTGCCCCTGACTTTAGATTGCTTTTCACTCGTAAAGATAGGACTTGATAAACTAACAATACAAAATAGCTTCTCCTAAGTCATATCTCTTTTTATATTAGCTTTACAGGCTCAAGCCACCCAAGAAGAACATGAGGGGTTTTAATGCTCTTTCTTGATCAGAGGAAAAGATGAACAAAAGGGGATTCTGCAGTGCAAGAGTTATTTGACAATGCAAGTCTGATATAATAAATTATTCTGCTCATTTCTGTAAGTATGTAAAGCATATGTAAACCAGCTCAAATGTCAGTATATTCAGACTTTTTAGAGTTTTGAATTTCTTTTGCATTGCAGAAGAAAAATACATTTTATTAAATGAAAAATTATTGACACTTCTGTTCTCACTAGCTGAAATTAATGAAAGCTTTGTCATTGTCTTAAATGAAGTGAGAATCACACCATTGCAGTCCTATTTAGTGTCATAAAGTTGTCAAGCTGCCAGCTTCCTGTTGGTATGTTAATGGCTTTTTTTATGATATTTAAAGCAGATAAATTATTTGTATAGTGATTTATTCTATTTTGCAATTAATTGCAGTCATTGAAATATGTTTTATCTTGCACTGGGGTTTTATTTTATATGGTGAGGCCATCACATTTCCATTTTTTGTGGTATTTGAGAGCTTTATATTTGCCCAAAAGATGTAAGTACAGCAGTTAATGACTGGATGCAAATTCAGTGTTCTGCTTTCACATAGTTTATTACGTTCAGTCAGTGTCTTTGCTGAGTAGAGATTTACATTTTAAGGCTTTTTTTAAAATTTTAATCTTCTGACATATTATTACTAGGATTTCAGATAAATCCAGTGTTTTTACGCTCCACATTTTTTGTTCTTATTTGCTGTGGTTCTTATTTTCATTTTCAAGGAATAACAAGAATGAAATGTGTATATAAAACAAAGATACATCATAAAACACATCACATTTGCTTGAAGATATTGCTAGCATAAAAATATTAGTAGTTATAAATCCATCTCCAAGAAAAATTACTATGTTTCTCTGCATTCGACCAGCTGTTCATTAAATGGAAAGATACTTTTTCTAAATTGTCTAAATTTTAAGGTCATGTATCTCCTTCTAATGGCTCAGTCTTTGAAGGAGCATCCTTCCAGTTGTTAAACTAGCTCTCAAAATAAAGTTTTTTCTACTGTTTATGTGCATGCAGATGAAATTTGTATTCACAGGGAGAGCTAAACCAAGACTTATATTCTTTTTCCCCTGAAGATCTACTCTCCCACCTTTTAGATGCTTCTGCTTTTGAGGTGTGGAATCGCATGTGAATCACAGCAATTGAAAAAGCAGCCAAACCTGCAGATTTCTGGTATTGCTCTGTCCTTTATATTTTACAGTGCTCATTGGGCTCCTGAACTTGACAGAAGCTTGTCCATTTGTACTGTGAATACCTAAATCTAGGAAAGCTAAAAAGCATGAAAAATAAGATGTGCTACCCCTTGAATAACTGTTTATAATGTATGGAGGAAAATACAGCATTACATTGTGGGGGAGCTTTACTGGAGTTCCCAAGGGGATGAAGTGACTGACTTTAGAATTATGTCAATACCACTGGCATTGCAATCCTGCTCAAAGGCTCCACTGGGCAAAGAGCTGGGCCTCTACCTAATCAAAGGCAGCCCACCTGCTATAACTGAAAGCACTTTTGCTGATGCAGGTGACACAAATGCAAAAGCACTCCTAGTTCTGGCTGTCAGTAGCCTGTCTATAATCAGTCTAGTGTCTGGGTTTTATTTCCTTAAACAATGTGAGAGTTTTTGTGGTATTTTTATGATAAATATTATTGAATGACGGCTTATCCCCAAAGTAGGATTAGAATTTATTCAGGAATGCTCTTTTATGTAGTAGTTTTTAAATGAACACATAAATTAAAAGATAAGCTTGTTAACAACTCTGAAATAAAATTAATTTGTTGATGTAAATTGTTACTCAGCAGGAATGTCAGGTCTGCAAAATAGCTGCAGTTTTAGTTGCTGAGAGTCACAGTGCCTTAAGTAAGGCATTTCCACAAGTCCCATGAAACAGCTTATAAATGCTTTGATTTAATGTTAATATTTTAAATTATTTTAATGGTAAAATTTGCTCTTCTTTCATAAAACAGCTTCTCCTAGACACCAGACTCCTGGGAAAATTGGAAGGAAAAACAGAAAAAAGAAATCACTCTAAAGGACCCACTCATCAGCCCTGTATCATAGGGTTAAAATTCAGAGATGATAATAAACTTTGCAAACTTTAAAAAAACAGCAACTGATATTTGAACATTGTAGCAAATAGATGATCTCTTGAGTTATAGAATTTAGAGGTCAATCATTCAAACACAAGTTATTTTATTTGACTCACATAATTAGTGGCCATTACTGCCTGTTTAAACTGACTGGTAAATGTTTATTTACTTTTGCATCACATCCCCAGAGCAGCACAAAACGGTCTCAACACACTGATGTGTCTAGCAGCAGAAACCACCCACGCTGAAGGGTCTCATTGCAGCAAGGGCAGAGACACCTCTGCCCTTGGGGTGCCACTAGAAGGACGCTCTGCATATGGTCCTTAGTGCATAACAGCCACCTCTGAATGTACTTGCCATTTGTAAACAGATCTGTCCAATTTATCCTGAACTCCCAGTGCCACAGTGTGCTGCTGCCACTGCCCAAGCTGTTCTCTCAGTTCCAGTACGTATGTGCCTGCTGACATTGTGGCTCTTGACTCCATGAACATGCCTATGGAAACAGAGATGCACCAAGCTTCCCTTTTTAAAATGCTTGCACAAGATTTGTGCAGTGGAGACTGCTGATGACAGACATTTTCTGCCAGTGGAAAGAGCAAACCATGGAAGCATGGATGCAAGTGCAGGAACTGCAGCCTCTCCTGTGCTCTGGGGAGTGCAGTGGCTTCCCTGCTGTCCATACTAGCTTGCTCAGTGGCTTGCCCACTGACAATGTGATTGTGCAGACCCTTGTTTGTGAAGTCAGTTCAATAGCCTCACGTGAGACTGCTTGCAGAGAGGGTGGAGTTTTCCTGATACACACAGCTGAACTTTAAGAATTGAATGTCATATGTCATTTAGGAATTGACTTTGGTCATATGTCCAGTGGATGAAATGGTGTGAAGTCAGCTGCTGCTCCTGGCTGCTGTGAACTTTCTATGAGGATGGAAGGACAAGGCATAGAAATTGCTTGTTCTTTATAAACATGATTATTTATAATTAATTGTTTTAATTTTATTACCAGTAGAATGTAAGGTGAAATAAATGATTCATAAAGCTCATCTTCCCTTATCTCTGCAATTCTTTCATGGGCTCACTGGTGATATAATTTATGCTTGTTTCTCCATTTACTGCAATTGCCCTTTATCAGAATTCAGGCTGTACTTTGCTGGCTGATTCTGATAGCTGGAAGTAATGCAAAGAGGATGTTTTTAAAGTAGATTATTACAGGGAAAAGAATGATTTTCTATCACCATGATGGTGTTTGCAAAGGGGATCTAAATTTTCTTTCAAACAATACTCTTAACTGCTTAATCCTCTCACCTCTATGAATATTTATAAATACAAGAATTTGAGTTACCTTTTCTGTCACCCCAAAACCAAACATATTGATAAGGCAGTATGAAATGAAAAAATAATTTTGACTTGAGAATTTCTCCCATTGGTAGGGAAGTAGATATTAAAATAACTTAAGTAATAAGCTGAATAAACTCAAAGCTTCAATGTCAGGGTCATATCTGAGCCTGGTGCTAAGAGGGATAGTATTTCATTATAGACAGATGAACATTCTGTTTTCTTCTGGTCTTAAAAATCTATGAAATCAGATCTCTCAACTCTGGAAAAGTGCAGCACTTTTCTCTGGACCAGACAGAGCTACAGAAAAGCATGTCAGACCTGGTCCTTTAAGGGCACCTTGGTGGCTAAGTGAATGGGAATACTGCTAATGTGATATTTGCAGCTGTCACCCCAAAACCAAACATATTGATAAGGCAGTATGAAATGAAAAAATAATTTTTACTTGAGAATTTCTCCCATTGGTAGACAAGCAGATATGAAAATAAATAATAAGCTGAATAAACTCAAAGCTTCAATGTCAGGGTCATATCTGAGCCTGGTGCTAAGAGGGATAGTATTTCATCATAGACAGATGAACATTCTGTTTTCTTCTGGTCTTAAAAATCTATGAAATCAGATCTCTCAGCTCTGGAAAAGTGCAGCACTTTTCTCTGGACCAGACAGAGCTACAGAAAAGCGAAGGCTATTAGAAGTAAAATACTCATCGATTTAAATGTGGAAATCCTGTCCAAACAAGGAAAATAAAAGACAAGTTAAACCCATCCTGTTGAACATAGAACTCTAATGAGGCAAGCCAAAAAAAGATTTTGAAGAGCAACTTCCTACAGGCATAAAAGTGACTAATAAGAAGTTTCTCAGAAACAGGAAGCCTTTTGGAAAGTCAATAGGCTGAGAGATGATTAAGGTGCAAATAGGATACTCCAGGAAGCAGTGCTGTGGTGAGAAAGCTAAATGAATTATTTGCATCAGTGTTCTCTTCAGAAGAGGTCATGAAGGTTTCCACACCTGAGCCATTCTTTACAGGTTCAAGCCTGAAGAGCACTCAGAAATCGAACAGTCAACAGAGAAGATTTTCAGAGCAATTCAATAAAATAAGCAGTAGCAAATCTCAAGGACCAGGTAGCATTAAACCAAGCATTCTAAAGAAGCTAAAATATGAGACTGCTAAACTACTAATTTCTGAAATCACTCTTGAAAGCAGAAAAATAGAAAGTTGCAAATGTGATGCTATTAAAAAGAAAAAAAAAAAAACATTTAAGGAGCAGAACAGAAAAACTACTGACCAGTAAAATTGATTTCTGTACCAGACAAATTGGTAGCGATCATAGAAAATAGAACTGGTAAACACATCATTTTGTAGAGAGCAAACATGCCTCACAAATCCATTATCATCCTTTGGGGGAGTTAATGAGAATCAGAAGAAAGGCATGCTGCCTGATATACAGTGGACCTGAGTTTTCACAAAGTGATTCACATAACCAAAGGTCCTTAAAGGAATTAAACAGTTATGGGATAAAAGGGAGGTCCCCTCACATGGTTTCATACATGACTAAAATAAAAGCAACAAAAACTGCCATGTTTATAAAGTGGAGAAATGGGACCCAATTGAATCCCACAGGGTCGCTGCTGGGACCCCTCCTGTTCTGAATTAGATTTGATACAGGAATGGGGATGAGGCCAGGCTATGTTCCAACTTTCCAGCTTTCAACTGCTTTCTTTGATCAGGAATACAGTTTAATTTGAGTACAGACTGAATACGTTGGTGCATAGGCCTTTATGACCAGGAGACCATTGCCAGGCTTGTGTTATTGAGATTTTGTGGGTTCTTTAGCAGGCTTGATGAGAAAGGAAGAAATTCTTTCTTTCTTTCTTAGGTTGGAAACTGCAGTAATGGCAGGCATCAGGGAATATGGTGTGTATGCCTCAAACTTGACGGAGCTGGCAGATATTCCTGTTGTGTATGTCAAGCAAATTAAATGCTAATATTGACCCACCACCAGCAAAGATACTTGTTGACTGAGGATGGGAGAAAAGAAACGATTTGCCAATCTATAGACCAAGATGTCAGAAATATGATACTACAACAAGAAGCAACTTTTTATCATTGAAACATCAGATTTTCACAAATTGTTACACTTAAGCAGTTTTATTACTCTCTTGTATGAATCAAAGCTCTTTGTGTGTTAGATTTGGCTATCTGAGAAATCCAGGTAATTTTTTACTGCAGGTATATGGAGATAATTGATTGTCAAAAGCTAAGTGGCCACAAGTAAAAATTATTTTTTCTGCTTTAATTAGTGAGCCTTTTCAGTCACTCTGAATTCTTAACCCACGAGAACCTTAGGGCAAAAACAACCTTTGTATTGGCAGGTACACATCTATGTTCTTTTTTTTGATGTTAAATAACTGCAATGTTTTTCCTTTAGAGATGTTATGGTCCCATTAAATGAGATGCTGTTTCAAAACTTATCTTTCAAATAAACTGCACTATAACTGTTGCATACAATGATCGTAACTCTGAACTACGAATCTATTCACAAAGTGCATTGATGATACTCAGGGTTATATTTCTAGGCCTTTTGCTTGCATAACGGCTGTTTTGGGGCTTGGTAGTTAGTGTGGTTGTGTAATTTTTACTTCCAAGTAACATAACAGCCTAACAGTGAGTCTCTTGTATGAGAAATGCCTATATTTTACTTTGAGTGGAGCAGTGAGTATAGAACAGGTAAATAAACCTTTGTATGGTTTGGTATAGCTTGCATACATATACACTCCCATATCTTCACATGTACAGCACATCTTGGGCAGCAGGGCAGGCTGTAGGGTATATGGCAGGTATGTGGCAGGTACTGCACATATGTGTTGTGTTATCCACCTGGGAAAACTCCCATATGGGAAAATAATAATTTACAGACATGAAATTAGCAAACCTCCAAATAAACCACAGCACAGCAGTGTCAAAAGAGCTGTAAAAACCTACTTTCCCACTCTTACCATGACAGTGAAGTTAGTGGAATTGAGGAATTTAATTAGATTGTCTGCTTGTGCTGTTTGGCACTGCCTCATATTTTGTGGAATAACAGGCCCTGCCATCAAATTGCTCCAAGCTCTGGTTAGAACAAATCAGTTCACATCAATTCACATGAACAGTGCAATGACAGGTTACACCATTGAAATGTGGATTTAATGTGCAAGGCAATGCCAATCTGATGTGACAGTGGTATATAGTGATGGTGAGCAGCTGTCAACAAGGACACAAGTGCATGGAGACAGAAAGCCTGGAACATCCAAGAGATTCTTCTTTCACTTATCCTCCCTTTGTACTGATTCAGAGAAATTGCTTGCATTTGCAAAGATACCAGGAAAAAATTAGGTCAAATAGCACAATATTGTCACTGAAGTACTTCCATTGAAATGGGTAGAACGATACCCACTTCTTTCTTTCAGGGCTAAAGTCAGCCCATTGTTATTTCTGATGCATTTTGCGTAAATAAATTAATCAGTTGACAGGTTTAGAGTAGGAAGAGATTAAAAAAAATCCCAAACTAAATCTGTTTCATGATGTTCCCAAATTTGCTTTAGGCTGAAAGAAACTTCTGTGAAGTCTCTTTCTATCTTTTTCTGTTTTGTATAGTCTTCCACAGATACCTGCTATCAATTACTCTTCATAACATGGTGCTGGAAGAGCTGATTTTGGGTTGAGCTGTTAAGTCCATTCCTATATGTATGGTGAAAGGCCAACACCTTCCCCTCACATATAATTTCTGCAAGACTAGGGTATTAAAACCATATCACTTCAATTCTGCTTATCTTTCTGAGAGATTAGGGAACTACAAAATGACTAAAGCAAACAGCTGCCTGAACTGATATCACACAGCTGAATTTTTCGCCATTCTTTTTCTCTTAGTATATTTGTTAATTTCTGTCCCTGCAAGACTACAAATGAAGCTCAGCTGACCAGTGGAAAGTGAGAATAAGCACTGAGTTTTTATCTACAGAACAGAACATTTCTTCTGCTTGGACAATGCTCTTACCATTTGTGGGATGAGGTGAACAGATAATAAGTACAAATCTTTGTTAATGTAACCATAAAGTTTTACAGCTAAAATTGAAAAGGTCAGGTAGTGCAAAAATCAAAGTTTCTATAGCAATCTTTAACTTGGCTTCATTCCACAGCTGAAGTATTTTCTATTCTATTTTACGTTGTTAAATGTGTCATGTAATATATTCCTCTTTGACGCTAAATGTGTATGATAAGTATACAAGGCATGAATTGTGGTAGAAGTAACTGTTGCCATGGGAACTTTAACTTTTGCATATGCCAAGTTTGAATCTGTAATAGTGAAATCATAAGACTGCAATGGATGGGGGTGTGGCACATCCCTCTGACCCACCCTTTGGAAGCAACCCCATCTTACATGCCTCCCTACCAGCTCCATGCTCCCACATCTGATCTGCAGCAGGTCCCTATGTCAGGGTGGGGAAACATTGTACCTGTTCTTCTGCCTGTCTTTTTCAGAAGGTCTATTGAATTTCTTCCTGATACTGTCCACTTACAGGTGAGCCTCTAGAGGTTTGCACACAGGATCAAATCTGACCTATGTTGCCTTGTTCAGTGAGTTCATTAGCATGTATTTAGCAACACTTATCTGGCAATTCCAGATGCATTTTCCCTTAGCCTCTCACAGATAC